CTTTTAATCCACTCCAGAATTCAATACGGGCACGTTGACTTGCTGTAGCGGGATAGCGTGTTCATCTTGGTGGAGTGGCCGGACGCGTCCTTGTCGCGCGTCTCGTTATTGTAGCAGCATGATTGTGATTAAAATCATGAAAAAAACGCTCCTCCGCTCTCAGCCAGGGTTCCTGCCCTTCCGCAGTTTCTCCCTTCACATCAATGCGACCAGTGACGACACCTGGGTCAGCACTGTGGTGTACCTCCCCAAATATCGAACAGTATTCTGGGGAAGGTCGGACGGGTCGACGTGCTTCGCCAACTGCGAGATCACGTGTGGGTCCAAATTGTATGTCTCCACGATTTGAGCAGCGTGCCGCAACGCACCGCGTTCTATGGAATGCTCCGTGGCATCCCAAGGAGCCAGAGCTCGTTCGACGTGGGCAGTCGTAAGATTCGTGAGCTTTTCGTTTTCTTGAAGTGTCCTGCATAGCTTTATAATGTCTAACACGTCCTGCCCTCGTATCCTGACGAACCGCGAGGCGCGGTGGGAGTCCGCCCTCGCCGTCTTCGGCGCCACGGATCAATCCAAAATTAAGGCTCCGTCCGGCTTCAGTGTGAAATTTTTGGGAGTCAAGGCCGCAATTCCGGACCAACGACTCGCCGTTATCCACGCAAGTCGTAAGACAACACGTTCCCTCCAATCGGTCCGGCTGCGGATAACTTGATTCATCTCTTCCTCTGTCACGGGGCGCGCCCGCCTCGTCTCTGATCGCGCCGCAATCTTTTGTAACCTCAATGCCGCCATATCCAGCGGGGTTCGATCCATTTGCAAAATGGACCGCAGCATCCTGGCGTACTGCGGTCGGGTCGACGGCGCCACTTCGATTGACATCAAAAAGACCGCACAGCTCTCTTCGTTCATCGGCTGTTCGTGCGTGCGGCAAAAAGTCGAGAATTGCCCCGCTAGGGAAATTCTCTGCTCCCACGTTGACGGCGCGCACTTCTCTCGAGCGACCTCGTTCGCTTTCCTCATATAACTTGCCCAAAGCGGGGATGTCGGTGATTCGTCGTACCACAGTCGGGCGTCGTTGGCAGATAAGCTCCATCGCCCTTCTCGACGATTTCTTCGGGCGATTTGAAAGATCGGATGGAGCATCGGCGGCGCGGTGCGACGCCTGTGCGGATTGGTGGGAGGTGGCGGATTGGATACGGCTGCCGTCGTCCGCTTTCATAAAAAGCAGCAAGCAGCCCCTCGGCCGTTTTTTGAAGGGCGCCTGTATTGTGAGTAATTCCCTCTCGGGCGCACATTGCAGGTGGATGCCTCGTGTCCAAAAATATGACAACGTTGGCGTCGCACAGTGCGTTGGGTTTCTCGCCGATCGACGAAAAGCTGGGTCGCCCTCGCATAAGCGTCCGTCTGGTGAACAGCGGTGTAAAGACGGGCGCGCAGTTTGGAAAGCCGGATGCCGGGATCGGATGTCATCGTGAGCTGCATCCAGAATGTATTCCGTAGGGACCTTCCCAAATTCATGATTCGATCGGTGGGATTCTGTCAGTCTTCCAGCGCGCCGATCCACTCGACCAAATTGTCAAAGGCAAGTTTAACCTGCTCGTCGTCCTGTTGCCAGCATTGGTATGCGCACCGGAGGTCGATAACGACTCCGGAGGCACCCTCATTCCATATGCGCGAGGGCCACGTAGTGACGTCGAATGCGCAGAAACCGCGGTCCTCTTCCATGGGTAATTGGGCGTCCAGGGGAGAAGTGCGGGAGGGCAACGGCGTGGAAGGGTGGAAATGTGGTCTCCCAACATTGCCGTGAGGGCGTCTGTAAGCCGCCGAACTGCGTCGGGCCGCACTGCTAGGCACGCCTCCTGCCATCAAGATATCCGTTTGATGCGGTAGTGTAGTTACGCCATCGTTGGCAACGTGTCGAGTAGCGGGGGACTCGTCCCGCCCCGCCGTCTCCGCATCCCGCGCGGGTTGTTGTGCATTATGGCGTGCCTCCCGTTCCTGGAGTTGAGCATTGAGGACTCCCAAGTTGAATTCGCGCTCCCGTAATTGGGCGTGAGCGGCCTCCAACTGCTGTTGTAGTTCTAGGACCTGGTTGCCGGCTCCGGCGATAGTGGATTCCCTCACCGATAGGTTGTGATGCGCCTCCTGAGCCCGCGAGTTAAGGTAAGCATTTCGATTCCGCACGTCCGCTACGGCGTTTGCGCAATCAAAATTTAGGCGTTCCCTTTCAGCAGTGATGAGCCCTTGTTGGTGCCCCAACTCCCGGGCTACCCCCATAGCGGGCAGGAGCACGTGTGTCTCAAAATTAGGGATCTGAGGCGCCCGGAGATTCGCAATATGGCCAACGAGAGTAGAATCCTGCCATGCTTTAGAGACAGGTCCATGAAACAGGCATAAGCCTGTCGCTGATGGGGCCACGGTCAACGTCTCATCCGACAGCTGGTTACCATCAATGAACGTCATCTGCACCTGGGTCTCGCCACATTGGCACACCATGTCCCAGAGACGGGCGCCAATATCACACCACTCGGAGGGTGTGTAAGGGACCAAAGCCGTTTCCTTAAACTTACCTGGCTGTGTGTCTGTAAAAAATAAAAATAAAAATTTGTCTGGCCTCTATCGGTTCCCTGCCCCTACAAAGTGGCATTCTTCCCAAAGGATTCATACGGTAGAAAGTATCATAAAGAATGCATTCATTTATCAGGATATACACATACATTCATTAGGGCAGCCAGCTCTCCCGCGATCATTCTTTCCACAAGCTCCAATTATTAGCCGGCGCCATCGGCGTGGCACACAATGCCGAGAGCGCCCATGATCAATTAAAAGGGGGAAAAAAACATTGAGTAGGTCCCGTAATTGTCGGACCAAAAAAAAGGAAAAAACACGAAAAAACGCGGTGCTGGCGCTGGGGAGAGGATGCTTCCACATGGAGGAAGAGCTCTGCGCAGCGAAGGGGATGTAAAATAAAATTAAAACCAGATAAAATGAACGGTGCATCACAGAAAGCGGCAATTACCTAAAAGAGTTCGTGGACAGATGCATATGTTCCCGCTGGAAGCAGGAAGTCCTCACTGCAATTTCTCAGTAAAGGGTCACAATGCCGCACAGCAGCAACTGCGACACGCCCCCACGCATGGAGCCGTCACCGTTTCCCTTTTTTGGCGTCGCTCTTCTTGACCATTTTTATTTCACCGACACTCAGTGGGCGGTTGTACAGAAATACGTTCGTCACTGTCACGCTGCTGTTGATGTCTCCCTCGCCTCCAAAGTAGAGATGTGTGATTTCATGTCCCTGCGTCTCAAGTGTTGGTATCTTCTCTGGGCTCCCCACAATCTTACCATCCACGTACACGGAGCCCTTGTTGCCGTCCTGCAGCATGAGCGCCACCTGGTATTCTCTCCCCAGCTCCCACGTGGTGTTCGATGTCGTTTTCTTCCCATCAAACACCGTCTCCCACGTTTTATTCATGCTGTACGACAGCCCAATGAAGTTCGTGCTGACGGGTGCATCCAGACCCGCACCCAGCAGAGGAGTGCTCCCCTTCGCAACCTGGTGAATGGTCACCGTCGCCACAAGGGTGAATCTGTGGTTCACAAATCTGTGCTGATTATTATCCTCCCGGCTGTTCACAGGCCATATCGCACCGGACCCAGGCCCCGTGAATTTGGACCCGTCATGGGCCTTCGCTGCTTTCGTCACGGATGCATTCACGCAGCGGTAATCGTCGATCCACGTGTCGCCACCGGACGACGTATTGGACAGGAATCCAACCAGACCAGCCGTGGGTATAGAAAGGCTGGAAAAGAAAACGTCATTTTGCGACCAAGTGCTGAGGGTGGACTTGATCGTCTTCAGCTCCTCGGTCAGGCGGGAAAGTGAAATGACACTGCCCTCACCATTTATACTCCGTTGTAAAAGATGCAAACTCCCATCCGAGTACAGCAGGCTGCTGGCGAGCATCCAATTCGCAGCATTGTCCATGCCAACCGGTCCAACAAAAAATGTGCGGTTGTTGTCCGTCACCCAAAGGTAGAGCGCATTGGCCTTATTCTTCCCCGAGAAGTTCCCTCTCTGAATGTACAGCATGACCTTCCTTCCCTCAATGGTCGCGGTGATGAGGGCCTCCACATGCAAGCTCAGATCCCAAAGGAATGATCGTGATTTGACCCACACGGCTGAGAGTGTCCCGACTGCCTCCGTCCACGCTGTCCCCATGTCACGCGACTCGTACACCCTCTGGCCATTCTCGCAGTCAACAATCATGAGAAGTGATCCCTCCCACTCGGTGATGCGGGGATAACGGCAGTTCGCAGGTGAAATGTCCTCAGATAGCGACCAGGTACTGCCGTTGTCCGTCGAGTAAATGATCATGGAGAAACCGTCATTTTCTGTATCAAACGCACTCACAGGAAACACAAGCGTGCCATCCTCCATCAGAACACCTGCGCCACCAGAAGCAACAAACTCCTTCAATCCAGCTTTGGGTGCCTTTAAAGTAGTCTGGCTTAACGATGTGGGTGTGCCCCACGTGATCCGTTGACTCGGCTCGCTGTCCGTAGGCTTCGTGACATCACCCACAAACAGTTTCAGCTCCATGCTGCCCCATTCCCACTCCAGACCTTCTTTGTGCGCATCAGAGCTTCCCGCAAGAAGAAACACCTTATTACCCTTCGTTGTTGTTGTGGGGTTGAACACATCGCCCACACGATTCGTTCCATCCGTCGTATCAGGCACGGTGTATGCCTTCCATGTACTTTCACTCACCTTTTCAACAAGAGTGGACCAATCCCACGAAGAGTCAATGTACTCCGCAACAACATCACAAGAAATCGGTTTAATTACTTTACCATCAGCGGTATATTGGGCATTCATGTGACCTTCGGCAAAAGCAGCAATTACTCCACAAGCACTGACAAGAGAGGGTGAAACAAATGCATCCCTCGTCGTAACTGGAGTACCTCCACCCTCCGGCTGCACCGGCGTCTTCTGTGGCACAAATAGATCGACCCATTGCAGCTCCTCAACACTTCTTGAATCACTGTTGCCATCATTCTCCTTTGCGGCTGTAGCTCCACAGGTGGCGCGGCACATCGTCGTGACGAGGAGCAGCAGCACCGCAGAAGCAAACACATGCCGGGACATGTTGGGCCTCTGCGGCTCACTCTCTCTTCCTTCCCTCCTCCTCCCGCTGGATCCGGCCACGCGGCGACGGTTGTGTGTGCGGGGTGCCTTCACTGCAGCAACACGTGAGAGCATATAAATATGTGTGTGGGCGGTGTGTGTGCTGTTGTTGGTCCTTTCAGAGCCTTACAATTTCACAGTAGCGATTAGCGCTTGTTTGCTTTCCTTCTTTCCTAGCGTGTTTGTGTTCAAGAAATGGAGGGAAAAGGGAAAACAAGCCAAGTAAAGAGGTGAGACAGCGAGCACCGCCACCCCGCACCGGCCATCGCGGGCGTCACGGCGGGCCGTCGGTGTGTGCGGGCCAGCCCTCACGCGGTGCAACACGCCACACCCAACAGGGAATGACAGACAGGCGGAGTTAGACGAATGGACGCCGTCACGACGCACTCACAATCAACATGGCCCGTGAGCATGCGGCCACTCCACGCAGGAACACAGGAGAAAAGGGTGACAAGGGAAAAAGCAAGAAGCACACAAACAAACGGCAGACGGGAAAAGCACCGCCACGGCCCTCGCCCTGGCCGGCAACTCCACACCAGCCCTCGCACAGACACACAGACACCATCGCAGTGCTGTCAGTCCGCGGGAGAAAAGATTCAGCCCTCCACACAACAAACGCACACACCGGCACCGCCTCCAGTTCAATCCCACGGCCAACGGAACACGGCCACAGCCCTGCAGCCAAAACACAACGCACACGGAGCTAGCAATCACCCAAAGAGCCACACACGGAAACGGATCCTCATCAACCCATGACGCGGCGTCTCAGTACATGCGGTCACATGGAGTGCACTGTTTCCTCAATAGAACTTATTCGTCGTCTATCCCTTAAAGACGCTTCTGTTAGTGATGAGCCTTAGAACACAATAGAAGAAAAGAGACAATGCAGTAACGCCGTGACACCGCCAGCCACAATGATTCCCTCATACCGGGGCAATTCTCCAATTGTGCCTCGTATGACACACACACAACTAACATACCATGTAGAAATCAACCAATGTTTTCACCAGAAGCCAAACAACCCCTTTCCCTCCCTAATTTTCTTCTGCCACTGTTATACTCCATAGCGTTGGACAGTTCTGAAATCTGTGTGCGGTGCTGCTGCCTGGTGCTGGTGCACCTGCACCGCATGCACACACAAGCATCCAAAAATATATAACTCCCACAATATTTCTTTACCACAAATCAAAATTGCCCCTTTCCCCAATTGTTTTCCTATTCGACGGTTCTTCCACACTTCGGAGTGCTTCGTCCCCTCAAAAGTCTCTGGATGATATTGACACTTGGTACTGGCGCA